CAGGGGAAGCTCACGAAACTACCCAAAAATTGGAGGAACAAGAGCAATTAAAGTAAACCCAACCTAAATCAAGGTGAAAGAGAGGGATTCATGGTTAGATCTTACCAGAAAAAAGCCCAAACTCTCACACCCACATAGCAGCCGGCGGACAAGGGAGAAGAGCAGAGCAGGACCGGGATTTTCTGGGTTGAGGGAGAAGATTCTAAGCCCCAAATCTTGTGATTGAACAAGAAAGAAGGAGAATTTCAAGCCCCTTTTTCGGTTTTCAAAGGAAGAGGAAGTCGGTGGCTTTGGGGGGGTTTGTCGGGCTGCACAAAGAAGAAGAGCAGAGCAGAAACGTGTATGGTTGGGAAGAAAAGGAATGAAAATATCAGCTGATCCTTATCCTAATTTCCTTTCTTTTTAACCCCTCAACTTTTTAAAATTTTGCGATTAAGCCCCAAAACAATATTTTCCTTGATATAAGTCCCTTATTTAATGCTAAAATATCCCCAAAATTTTGGGATATTACACACTTTATGCATCAAGGCCAAAGCAATCACACGGCGAGCAAACCTGAAGTAATCAAGGTGCAATTGATGCACCTTAGACGCATGATTAGGAAAGAACCTTTTGTGATCATTTGGGCAATGCGAAAAAAGGCAATCTCTGGATTGAATAGAGCCTGACATACCAAGAAAAACCACTCCCTCAGCACACCGGCCCAATAGGTTCTTCATTTTTGAATTCCATAAACAGACCCAGCATATGTTAGTTAAAAAAGGTGAGAGAGAAACTCATTTATCAACCGAACTCTGAGTAAAGGTGCAAATAAGGATGTCAACTTTGCATTTTTTTTTATTTGAACATGTTAACTTTGTTAGTTTCTAAATAAAGATGTCAACATTCAACTTTCAACTTTTTTTATTTAAGAAATAATTGGGTGGTGATACAGATGTGGCTAACATTTTTTTTAGGTTAAATACCTGAATTGGTCCCTTAATTTTTATTTTTGAACCAATTCATCCTTGAACTTCAGAAAGTATCAAAAACGTGCTTCAATTTCAATTTTCAGCACCAATTTCGTTTTTCTGTTAGTTAAGTGCTGATGTAACTAATTTTTCCGCTAAGTGATTGACTATTTTACATTTTCAATATTAGGTG